CCCATGCCATATCTATCCTAGACCATGAGTTATGTCTGGCAGAATAGTTTAAAAGTGAAATATTGAAGGCACAATCACAAATGATTCCTACAGAGCCTAAAGAAACCAACGTAGCTGCATAAACAGCTTTCTAAAGATCTGAGATCTGAGAAATAAAAAATACTAATGTAGGAAATGGAAGAAGGGCCTTATAACCAAGGCTGAATATAAACATGTAGGGAGATTATTAGAATGTGCATGTAGGGAGATTATTAGAAAAGCTAAAGCTCAGTATGACCTTAGGCTAGCAAGAGATGCTAAAACAACAAATATTTTCATCGCCTGGGACACACAATATTGAATCATCATTTTAAGTTCTTTAAGTGATACCTGAGTGGTATTCATCGTATTTATTTTTAATTGTATTTGTCCTGGGTAGGGTTCTTATGTTACGTTTAAGTCAGAAAAACAGCAAGGACATGGTAGCCCCATTATGGGGTCAGGAAAGTGAACTTGTACCAAGTGATGAAGAGAGGACATAACTGCTCTATTCCTACTTTTCTTCACTTTTCTATCGTGAGGGGAATGGTGCTCAACATGGCAAAAACAACACATGATGAGGGAAGGGAGTTGCAGCCTAGTTTTGGCATAGGGGTAGTGCATAAACACCTGTTTTCTTTAAATGAAACTGTCCTCAGGGCCAGATGAGTTGCACCCAAGGGTGCTAAAAGAACTTGCAGATGTAATTTCTGAGCCTCTGGCCATTGCTTTTGAGAATTCTTGAAGAACAGGTGAGGTGCCAGAAGACTGGATATGGACAAATGCTGTCCCCATCTTCAAGAAGGGGAAAAAGGATGATCTGGCTAGCTACTGACCCATCAGCTTAACATCTATACCTGGAAAAGTTTTAGAACAAGTCATCATTAACATCAGCCAGTTTGGTGTAGTGGTTAAGTGTGTGGACTCTAATCTGGGAAAACGGGGTTTGTTTCCCTACTCCTCTACTTGCACCTGGCTGGATGACATTGGGCAAGCCGTAGTTCTGATAAGAGCTGTTCTTGAAAAAGAGCCGTTTCTGTCAGAGCTCTCTCAGCCCCACCTACCTCACAGGGTGTCTGTTGTGGGGAGGGGAAGGGAAAGGAGTTTGTAAGCCGCTCTGAGACACCTTTGGGTAGTGAAGGGCGGGGTATAAATCCACACTTAACCCTATCTCTTTTTTTGAGAAATTTACTACCTTGCTGGATCAGCAGAATTCTGTAGATATAGTTTATCTTGATTTCAGTCAGGCTTTTGATAAAGTTCTACATGGCTGCGGTCACACGGGCAGGAAAATGCGGGGGGAAGCGTGACTGTTTGCCCCGGGGCAAACTAACGCGTAGTTACTCGATCAGACCTCCCCTGGAGGTTCCGTGGAGGTTCCGTGGGAAGGGAGAGGTGCTGATCACAGGACGATCCTGCGTGCAACAAAGCAGCGCGTGGTGCGGCAAACGGGTGTGTGTTTTTTGTCGTGTACACCAAACATGCGCATGCTCCGTTGGGTGCTTGTGCGCATCCACGGAGACTTGGGAAAAAAACACCTTGTTTGCAAGGGGACATGGGCGGGCGCCGGATGCCACCGGAAACGCGATCAGACGCCCGCCCTTGCCCCGCAGTTTCCGGAAACTAGTACCTCCGAGGTACTAGTTTTTTGCAGCGCGGTTTCGGCGGGAAGCCTCGGTTGAGCCACGGAAGCGCTACGCTTCCCAGATGTGCCAGTGAGATCGCGCCGGAAACTCCGCCTGACTTCCGTCTCTCTAGCGTGGCTAATGTTCCGTGTGACCGCAGCCCATAATATTCTTGTTGACAAGTTGGTAAAATGTAGTTTGGAACCCATTACTGTTATATGGATCTGTAACTGGTTGACAAATCACACCCAAAGAGTACTTGTTAATGATTCCTCATCCTTTTGGAGAGGAGTGACAAGTGGAGTGTCTCAGGGATCTGTCCTTGGACCGGTTTTGTTTAACATCTTTATAAATGATTTGGATGAAGGAATAGAGGGAATACTTATTAAATTTGCAGATGATACTAAATTCTTCCTTTCCCCATGGTCGGGGATAGAGGGTGGCGCTGGGTGAGAGGGTCTCCCTGCAGTACCCAGTAGAATGTGGAGTGCTGCAGGGGGCGATCCTCTTGCCAGTGTTATTCAACATCCATATGCGCCCCCTCACCCAGTTAGACCAGAGTTACATGCTGGGTTGCCATCAGTATGCTGATGACACTCATTTCTATCTGTTAGTGGACGGCCGTTCCTGGAAACCTGGATGAGACTTTGGACACTGTGGCTGGATGGTTGCGGCAGAGTCGATTGAAGTTAAATCCATTGAAGACGGAGGTCCTGTACCTGGGTCGTGGGGGTATGGAGGTGGGCACCAGGCTTCCCACACTGGAAGGGGCACCTTTGATGCCGGCCCAGTCAGTGAGGAGCCTGGGAGTACCACTGGATGCCTCCCTTTCCATGGAGGTCCAGGTTGCTGCAGTTGCCAGATCTGCATTTTTCCACCAAAGGCAGATCAGGCTACTGAAGCCCTATCTTTCCCCCCAGGACTTAGCTACGGTGACGCATGCAGTGGTCACTTCCAGGCTTGATTACTGTAGCTTGCTCTATGCAGGCTGATTTGGAAATTACTGCTGGTGCAAAATGCGGCGGTGTGCCTGCTGACATCGACGCTTGTGCAGGCTCACGTTCAGCGTGTGGTTCGTCAGCTGCATTGGTTACCGGTTGAGTACCGGATCCACTTCAAGATGTTGGTAATAACTTTCAAAGCCTTATATGGGCTGGGTCCAATATACCTAAGGGACCATCTCTTTCTGTATACACCTCAAAGAGCGCTACGCTCTGACTTCTGGGATAGTGAGGGGTAAAACTGGCATGATGCAGCAAGGGTGGACAGAGTCAAAGTGTAGAGTTCAGCAGAAGCAGTTTTACCTTTTCCTCAACACCCAGGAGATGACACTTAGAACCACCTGAGGCATACATGGGACAGAATGTTGTGCTGTCAAGTTCTATTTCTCTTTCATACTTTTAAAATGTCCTCAGGCTGAACTTACACAGGAGGATGTATGATGTCTTAGAGTAGACTGCAGGTGGAGTGCTTTTTAAAGAAGTATACCCTTCATGTGAAAACTGCTGGCAAACAAAACTGGCACATTTAAAAGAGAGAGAGGTTTTAGTCCAGTTTTCTTCTTGGAACATATTTTTTTTCTCCTGTGGGGGAGCATTCAGAAATATTTCTGACCACAACCACCACCAGCTGTAGGCTGAAGTAACACAGTCACAGATCACTTCAGCAGTGTTCCCTCTAAGCTGAGTTAGTGTGAGCTAGCTCACAGTTTTTTAGCCTCCGGCTCACACATTTTTGTCTTAGCTCAGGAAGGATGGCTCCAGAGCAAACAGATTTATGCAGTAGCCAAATCGCTCGCTCACAACTTTCATGCCAGTAGCTCACAAAGTAGAATATTTGTTCACAGGACTCCACAGCTTAGAAGGGAGCATTGCACTTCAGAACTTTGCTACCTCATTCCTTTACATCTGTAGATAAGACTTTGGAAAGACTGAGTGAGGGAGATTTAGTGGCAGCTAGGAATGCCAATCAAAAACTGGGACAAGCCTCACATATGTGGGACTTCTTTGTTCAAGAGTTTGGAATGTTATATGCCATTAAAGGTCTATTGATTGATTGAGTTTGGAATGTATGTGAAAGTAGGAGGAGAAGATTAACACTGTATTAACCAATTTATTCTAAGCCACAATATGTGAGTCCAAATATTAAGTTTTAAAGAATATTCTCAGGCCTTGGACTTTAGTAGATCTCTAGGGAGCCGAGTTCTATACGTTTGTGTATCCCAAGGAATTCTACTCTTTGTAGATGCAACATGTTGTAATGGTTAGTGTTAGGATCTGTGAGACCTAGGATGGAATCCCCAATGTGCTATGAAAGTATGCCAGGTGACACTGAGTCAGTTACACACAGTCAGCCTAACCTGCCTCATAGGCTTGTTTTAAGCATGGAAAGGATAATATTGTAAGCCATTTTAGAGAAAGGTGGGATATAAATTTAAGTAAGTAAGTTCTATGTCAGTGTCTTCAAATGAAAGGACTTCAGTATGTGTAGTCTTGGCCAGTCTTAAAGATCTCAATGGCGGAAGTTTGGTTTCAGTTACTATACACCAACTCCTCCCCCCATTCTGAATGTAATCATTGCAATGTGAAATCTAGTGGTGGGGGAGCTTTTTTCTTTTTAAAATGTATGTGGTCTTTTTTTAAAAAGTGTAGTTATTTGCATTTTTTTTTTTTTTTGAGAAACTGCAGTCACTCTCTGGATCCACACTACTTTCAAAATTGCTCATAGTCTGAATGCTGATTCCAAGGTGCAGCAGCACATAGATGTAGCCACTGCAGGAAACACGATGCTTGACCAGATAGATCATTTGTATGATTGAGCAGAACTGTTCTTTCATAGCAGTAAAATTCTTGCATTGCAAGTGCCATTTTCTTAGAATGTTCTTTAATTTATTTTTTGACTGTGTACAATGAGTCTGAGAAAACTAGTATTCTACACATTGAAATTATTTGTGTGCAAATGTAGTAAATAGCATAAAGCTTAAGAATAACAAATATTTTACTTAAATCATGCGTAGGAGTATATATTTATCTGTGTACCTACCTATCTATTTTTCTTTTATTTTTTTAAAAAGTGGGAAATTCCTTGTTTTAAAAAGTGGCTATAATTGCAGGTTACAAATTAGTTTCCACAGCAGGTTCTGTAATTATAAAAAAAGATATACTCAACTGAGAATGATCAAAGACAAAGAAAGTCTCTGTAATTAACCAAATCACTAAGTTGGCTTTACTGTAATAATTGCCCTATGTAAGGGTTGGTTGACTGTTGCATAAAAATCTGGAAGAAACATACTGAAAACTTGGGGGGGGGGAGCATTATCTGACACACAGCTAAGGTTATGGTCTCTTTTCCCTGTAGTGTCAGCAAAAAATAATTTCAGATCAAGACCTCTTGATGATTATTGCATTAGAATGTATCTATGGCTGCAGATGTGATGACCAGCTTTCTCTCTGTTACGATATCTTAGAATGTCTTCCTCAGAGAGGTTATGGGTGAGTATTTCATTTAACTTAGCTGTGGATGAAGCAAAATAGTTTTTGGGGGGAGGGGTAATGAAATCTTTGTCAACTATTTTTTGAAATGATTAAGCTTAGCAATAACCTTTACCACCAGACTACAAAGAATAATGTAAGAACTAGTTTATATATTTAGTAAAGTCAAATGGTAGACTAGAGTACAGGGGTTTTTTTTGGGGGGGGGGAAATCTGAAGCAGCAAACTGCCTTGTATGTACGTGTGCTATATACTAAATAAATCCTAGCACATTGGGGAGAAAGAGCTCAGTCTAAGCCTTTTTCTGACTTTTTTTTAATATGCAGGGGTATTTTTGTTTGTTTGAAGTGAACATTCAAAAAGGTAATCCTACATCTGCAGTTCAAAGTGGTACTGTCTGAATGAATAAGCTGGTGCTCAACAGGACTTTGGCTGCAGACGTTAACTTTTAAAAGAGTGGCAGAGAAGGCAGTCCCTTAAATCAGGCATTTTATAAACCTCCCCGAGTTTCAAAAAGGTGAAGGCAGTCTGATAAAGTGCTTTAAGAAGCTTTAAGAAGCTAGTACAGCAGAGCTGCTGAACAGGGCTGTTTCTCCATCACCATCTTGCTTGCCCTCCGTGTGGTGTTAGGACTAGGGGTTGAGCTTGCCTTGGGCAAGTCACTCTCTTTCACTTTAACCTACATGTATGGGTAGTTGTGAAGCTCAGATGCCTCTCTGAACCCCCTCAGGAGGGAAGGTGCAGAATAAAAACAGACACTGTAAAAGATTGCTTGAAGAGCTCTGAAATTTTAGTTTCTCAAAAGGTAGTGGGTTAGATCCAGTGCAAAAATTCTGCTTGCATTAGAGCTGTTGGAAATGCAAGAAAAAGACCACATTTGCCGCTTATGCTGTGCTAGACTTACTGTATCTCTGTTTCCGCTTATGTTTGTGGACACTGTAATATACAGGGTGGGAAATGTTATGTATTGCACAAAATGTTAGTCAAGCAGAACTGCTCTAAGTCTGTTTCTGTTTATGCACTGCTGGATCCAAACCTATGTAATTCCAGTAATGGACAGATTTCTGTTTAGTCATAAAAGTTAAAACAGCATAACACTATTAATTAGGCTTATCTGTGTATTTAATTTCTTGCTCATCCTGTGTTCGGCACGTGGTTTCTCTGGGTCAGGCTAAACCTCTTCTGTGAACTTGCCGTGGGGGTACATTGCACTGGAAACTTCAGTTTAAATTGGGATATAAGCCATGTTGCCTCTTTTAATTGTTGCTTGGGTTCCAGAATCATTTTGTGGGAAGTGACCACCAGGGTTGGAGGTCCCATAGCATTACCAGGAGAAAATGTTAATTTAGTGATGTTCAAGGGTTTGGGTTTTTGTTTTTTTAGTAATGCAAGGCCCTAAATTGTAGCTGCTTCTTGTTGTTGTTGCTGCAATGTGAGGCTCTAAATTGTAGCTTGGTTAGTTTATACATAAATCCTAGCAACCCAGTCTCTATGGTCACAACTGATACAGTTTTTTTGTTGGGGAATGGGATAGTTGCCATGCCTTCTTCAGTTGGAGTTGAGTTAATTGGGAAGGAAGCTTATGATCATCCCCAACCTCACTATGCACTGATCTAAGAGTTGTAATATCCAAGCAGGCCTTTTCATCTCACAGAAGACCACAGTAATTTTATTTGTCAAATTTCTACTTTTCTGCTCTTTTCTAATACCACTATTTTAGTGATAATAACATCAGTATGCTTTATATTCTTTGCAGCCCTGAAACAGACATTACTAATAGTCTGCATGACAAGGTTGATGAACTGGAACAAATTCTTAGGTAGGAAACTCCTTTCATCTTTTCCAATACATTAACTTTATTAACACAGCATTATGCTTTATAGCTAAAAAGATGTCTAGATTATTGCAAAAGAAAATTTATAAGTCAAATATTGCTGCAAGCTTGCTTAAGGTTACTTTCTATACTTTGGACTTTCCACAGACAACTGTTTAGGCCCTGCTATTGTCTGTCCTGCTTTTTCTTGGTGAAGTTTAACATTAGAACAATGATATACAGTTAAAAGGGGAGTGACAGAAAACTCTGCCAAATTAAGAAGCAGACTCAAATACCTACAGGCTACTTTCCGACATCATGTGAAACTACAGTTTGATTAATCTGTGGTTAGTGTGGTCGTAGAGTGTGATTGAAACAACCTATGGTTAATTCAGTTCCATCAACCAAGATCTGCCCTGAGCCCGCGTAGCAGGGAGGGCGGGGTATAAATTGAACTTATAAATATAAATAAATAAATCTTTAAACAACCTGTAAGCAATAATCATACTTAACAAATGCAACTATTACCAAACATTTATAGGAGAAGACACATGTGCTTAAATCAACCTTGGGGCAGGGGGACAGCTTGACAGGCAACCCATATTTCTTAAGATAGCCATCTAGTGGTGGTGGCGGCACTACCAAGCAGTACCTGGCTTTTAGGGGTTCTGGCCTGTGCCCTATGCAAACTCAATGAGATCTAGACTCTCCACTTCTTTCCCTGGTTTGTTTGTTTTTTTAATGTCCATACTTATTCCTCCTGTAGCATAAGTTAATAGTAGCACTAGGCAAGGTTTAGAGTTGGAATAAATGGCTTTTTAAAAAGGTTGATTATTTTTTTCAGTGTGTCAGAAATTTTGGAGAAGCATGGACTCCAGAAACCTGTATCTTTTGTAAAAGACACACAGAACAGTCCGGAAGAAGCACGAAAGCTGCTGATTAGATTGACTAGGCACACAGGCCGCAAGTGAGTAACAAACATTCTTGATTAATGTGAATCAGAAGGCATTGTTTCCGAGAGTGTGATTCTTACAGAAATACTTGTTTCTTAGAATTTATAGCAAAAAAACGGTTGGTTTTCAAGTGCTAGATATTGATACAATAGTTCTAGTATTAATGCTTGAATATTGTTGCTGGAAGATAATGTATTTATTCTTTAGAAGCAAATGGAGTGTTCTTTTTTTAAGAGGGTATTTTAGCTGAGCTATAGGTATATGCATATATAGCTGTATAATGTTGACCGCATTAAGATAGCATTTTTAACCAGCGTTAAGCCAGGATATGCTAGTGTGGTGTACTGGTTAGAGTGTTGGGCTAAAATATAGGAGACCTGGATTGAAGTCCTCACTCTGCCTTGAAACTCCCTGGGTGGCCTTGGACCACTCATGCTCTCTCAGCCTAACTAACCAACCTCACAGGATGGTTATTAGGATAAAATGGGGAAGGCAGAACCATGTGCTCCACTCTAAACTCCATGGAAGAACAGAGGGACAAATAATGTTTCGGTATGTACTGGGGCGTACATTCTGTGAGGGCAGATTATTATGCCCTACCATAGAAGCCACTAATGGAGGGGTGCAATTTGCCCACGCTAGGTGGGTATGGTGGACCCATGGTGAGCAGGGCCAGTGGTCCCCTTCCCTACATCCGCCTCCTGCAGCTCCCCATGGTTCTGACAGGCTGCTGGGATTGGTTGAAAGGACCAAAAGGCTTCAGGGGTGGGGATATGGTTGCCAAGTCCCCCCCCCCCAGCGACCGATGGGGGTTAGGGTTGCCAGATCCAGGTAGGGAAACTCATGGAGATTTGGGGATGGAGTCTGGGAAGGACTGGGACCTCATGCCATAGAGTCCACCCTCTAAACACTTATTTTCTCCAGGGGAACTGATCTCTGTAGTCTGGAGATGAATTGTGATTCTGGGGATCCCCAGGTCCCACCTGAAGGCTGGTATCCCTTCCCTCTCTGGAATCAGCCAAAGGGTCTGGAGTGTGGGGAGTGGGGAGTTTCCCACCCTCGTAGGCACCAACCCCACTCTCAGGAGATTAGCTTCACAATGAGTCAGGGTTCTTGATGTCATGCACTGGTCCAGCTCGAGCCTCATAAAAAGGCCATAAAGCCATAGAGGAGGGTGGTGGCTGCTCCTCCCACTTTACAAGAGAGGTTAGCCAAATGTGGAGGAGGAGGAGGACCCCCTCCCCTTTCCCATTCTGAGGTCTGCAAGCCTTGCAGAGGGAAATGCTGGACCCCCAACTCAGCACCCCCTCTCAATCTACAAGGAAGAAGGAAATGAAATTCTGCAACCAAAACTACTGCACAACTGCAAAGCTAGCCTATTATGCATGAACAGCTTACTGCAGAGAATCCGAGCAGTCAGACCTTTAAGCTTGACTTAGTGCTGGGGGGGGGGGGGGGGGCAACAGGGGGGGGCGGTGTGCTGGTCCCACTCCTGGACCTCCTGATGGCACCTGGTATTTTTGGCCACTGTGTGACAGAGTGTTGGACTGGAGAGGCCACTGGCCTGATCCAACATTGGCTTCTCTTACGTTCTTATTTCATTTCATTCTCCAGTTCAGTTAAAAACCATTTGCTCATCTTCTTGTTAAGTTAAGGAAGAAAATAAATGCTTCTCTTTATTTCCCCCCCCCTCTTAAAAGACAGCCTCCTGTTAATGAGTCATACTGGATGGGATTGTTGCAAGATATGCTGGACATGCAGCAGAATGTCTACACGTGCTTAGAACGAGATACTTGCTATGAGGTGATTCCCCCTCCCCTTGCTGTTTTTTTTAGTACGTGAAAGAACATGACTATGGTGTTGACCTGTACCAACTGTAACTCATGGACATATTGGTGTTAATACTTTTATAGATAAGAATTCCAGCACAATCCTAATTGCATCAACTTTATATATTTGGGTGTTCAAATCCTATTGTCATCAATCCTGTTGTGGATTAATTGATCAGGAACAGGGGACAATGGGCCATTTAAATTACAGGGAAGGTCCCCAGTGAGCCACTGCCCTGGAGGGCAATTGCAACCAGGAGCAAGCAGAGACTACTCGACTAAGACCTGGTCAGCGGCACCAGAGATGAGTGCTGGGTCACCTGTTCCATTCTTCTTTACTGCTGCCAGTGGGCAAATTAACACCCATTGTTTGTGCTGCTGGCCAGGTCTGTGCTCAGTAACCCCAGCTGGCACTGCATGTAGCACCACAGGGGGATGCCCCTCAGTGGCTTGATCCTGAGCCATTTTAACTCTTCAGTGTACCCCTGATAAAAGAGCCATTTCAAGGGATAAAGTTCACGGGGGGTTATCACTGGAGCTTTTAGGTAGTAAGTCTCACATGGGGGCATGATGGCTTTATCAGTCGTTCAGGACAGGAGGAGGAGGAGGAGATTGGATTTATACCCCGCCCTTCTCTTGGAGTCTCAGAGCGGCTTACAAACTCCTCTCCCTTCCCCTCCCCACAACAGACACCCTGTGAGGTGGGTGGGACCGAGAGAACTCTGACACAAACTGCTCTTTCAGGTACAGCTGTGCCAGAGCTTGTGACTGACCCAAGGTCACATCAGCAGGTGCAAGTGGAGGAGTGGGGAATCAAACCTGGTTCTCCCAGATTAGAGTCCGCACACTTAACCACTACACCAAACTGGTTAACAGTCCCACTCTGCTTCATAAACACATGGGAGTGGCACTTTTCAAGAACAGAGGATAACATCTTATGAGGGCACATGAAATTACAATGAGAATTCCACCTACCTCACAGGGTGGCTGATATGGGGAGAGGAAGAGAAGGTGGATTGTAAGCCCTCTCCAAGATTCCTTTGGGTAGTGAAGGGCGGGGTATAAAACCAACTCTTCTTCCTCCTTGTTATTTTAGGATTTTAATTGCCCAGGTCATACCCCTCCAAAATCTTGTTGGTCTTTAAGGTGCTACTGTACTTGAATCTAACTTGAACCATGGTTAATGCCAGTCAGGACTCACTGTTTTTCAATGCAGCTTCAAATGTGGTTTCCAGCTCTAGGCAACCAGTTATAATAAACTGTGGTTACAGAGATTAGCACTAGCTGTAGTTAAGTTGGGTGGGGGAATTTACACTATCGAAAGGGGTTTCAGGAGGGATCATGTGATCCTACAGTATGTTTGAATTTCTTAATATTTCTCGCTATCCTACCCTTTCTTTATCCTCTTCAAGCACCTTCCCTGTACTGCTGTTTTATTTTGAAGTCCACATTTGGATCAGTTTTCTTCCTTCAGAAAACATTGCCTAAGGAACACATCTCTAGCAGTGTCTCAGGGAACGACTACAAACATTTGTGTGTGTGTGGTTTAAGTGAAGTTTAGAATTTCTTGGCAATGAAGCAAAGATTAAGAACCAGTGCAGAATTCTAAAAGACATGTGATGTATGGACAGGAACGTGAATGTGCTGAAACAAACTCTTGACAGAAAATCGCAGGCTAAACAATGGGAAGATAAATGATCCATTGCATAAACATTATGTTTATTAAATGGTTCGCTGAACAGAGAGTTCATTTTTTAATAATTCACTCTGGGTGCATATAGAATTTTGATAGATGATTTCCTGTTTGCATTTAAAGTGAAATGCAAAATTCAATTTTTGCAGAAAATAATCTGCATAAGTAGGTGTATAAAATGTGCAAGACAAACTTATCATTATATTTGTGAAGTGTGGTTATTACAATGAAAGTGTAGGTTTTTTGTATGTGTTCAGTTTATAGGCAGATTCTCTTTGCTGTTCCCTTGTATAGCACACAAATGAGCTGTTATGATGCGTAATTTATCTTCAGAAACTTGACAGCTTTTAACCATTTCATATGATTTTCACCTTTTTTATTATAGCTTATAGACTTTATTGCTTATAGCTGCCAATCTGTATGATGCTTGGGCAATTTTGAGAACAAATTAGAATATTTCTGAAGAAATTTGGGGGGGGGGGAATGCCATCTGGAATTTGCATCTGAAATGGAAACTTGCTGTTCTTTGAAAACCAGCAGCACACATATTTTAAAGCCATGTCAAGAAACAGTGGCTAAGGCAGATTTGCCCTTTGAGTTGGTAATGCCTAAAGACTCTGTTCAATCATAAAATCAAGACTGTGTGCCCCATCAGTCTGAAATGTGGCATGGAGAATATATCTGGAGAGCTGTAGGACCTAGCCAGAGTTTAGAACAAGCAAATGTCACAGTCATAGAACTTTAGATGTTATCAGAGGTATGAAAAATTGCTTTGACTTAGAAAGCGTTGATCCACATTCAGAACATATCTTTGTTGTCTACGTTTTTTTTAAAGCCACAAATATTCCCTAATTCCTTTTCTTTTTGGTGAAAATCCATAAAGTTCTGAGGCTTCAGAGTTCCATTTTTTCATTATTTGTTAAAGTAAGGGCATGTTAAAAGTATGTGAGGCTTCAGTAAAGTAAGCCTCCTTTGTGGAAACTCCCCCCCTCCCCCCAAAAAAAGAGCTTCCTTTTGCCCAGCTGACAGGAGCAACAGGAACAGAGCCTTAGAGAAGGCGATTCCTTCTAGGGGCGAGGGGAAGACAGATACATAGAGACCTGCTGTACTGAGTTCGGGTTTTTGGCATTCAATATATGTCCAGCGTTACTGGGACAGAATGACTGAGGAGAATTCTCAATGTTTACACAGATGACTGTGCATGACCACATAAGTATGAAGGAAAACTTGTTTTCTTAGCTGAAGCATTTATTAAAGCATTTCCCCCCCCCTCAATTTGTAGCACAAGAGCACTGTGAGAAGTATCCCAAAGATGTATGAATGAATTCTTTCAAAATTTAATCTCTTTTGCCAAATATTATTAACAAAACACAAAGTGTGTTTTGAAGTGGTCTATTTTCTTCACTTTGTTTTGATGCACAAGAGTGATGTTGTGTAAAGGGAAGAAAATAATTGTGCTCTCTTACTGTTCACTCACGTAGAGAATACACTTAAAAAAACAAGAATAAAAGTGGTACAACAATTTTGGTTTAATTAAAGCAAGAGTGTAAGCACATTTTGTGCCGGCCTGCAACCTGTGCACCATTCAGCTGTGATTTCCTTCATTCTCTTAGCCTTTCCCCCCTAAATTGGCTTTGCTATCACATTCCATCCTTCTTATGGGCATTTCAGTTGTTTAATTTTGACATGTTACCCAATTGTTGTCAATGACACTGTTCAGTGTTGCACCCCAAACACACACACTAAAAGAACAATTTTAGGGAAGGGTCACTGTGTGAGTTTTAAGCTGGAAGCAGGCACAGCATGTCAGACCATATACTTCCTTGTGTTGCTTAGGTATCACACCAGTTAAGGTGACAGTCTTATTTTACCATTTCCAAGGGAGTTTTTTTTAGATTATGCTTGAACTTCTAAATACCTTTTTAACTCTTCTTTTAAGCCAAAGGTTATTTTATTTTACTGTTACACCCTTTGCCTCAGGATAATGGAAATAATTAAATCACTTAATATTAATACCCCTTTCGATGACTTGGCATGTTCTTGTTCGCCATTCTCAATCATCCTCTTCAATTTATAGGCCTCTACAGTGTACAGTCAAGTCAAGTCAAATCAGCCTTTATTGGCATAAATTATCAGTACCATTTATATACAATGTACAGTAATACATTGACTAAATTCTACATAAGTGATTCTTAATGGGGGCAGTCTGCCAATTGGGAGGGTGGCATTAAGAAATTTTGGCAAAACGGGTGGGGGTATTCAAGGTTTCAAGCACTCCCTTCCCCCGTTCAGAAGTTATGACAGCCTGAGGAGGAGATGTGTATTATACTCCCCATCCTGTGCCCAGGATAAACTCCCAGATTTCGTCTCCAGGCCTTTAAAATGGAGCTATTGGGCACAAGAATTGTTTTGAATGTATTCCTGAGATCTGGGTTGTACACACATACCATAAATATACCAATATAAAGCTACTGTAACTAAGATGCTATTGTTATGTCTGAATGTTTTGTGGGTGGGTGGAGAGGGGATCAGATGATGGTGTTGCATATTTGGTGGGTGGTACAGGATTAAAAATTAAGAACTGCTGTTCCATTGTGTGCTCATAGTACAGTCACTGTGGTTTATGCTACCTTGTGCTACTGGTCCGCTGAGTAAAGTTTGCAACCTTCTTCCGACAAGTGGCCCTTCCTCCAAAGGAGGAGCCACTTGGGCTGGTAAAAGGCTCCTAAAGCTGGAGTAAGGTTGGCTCCATGCCACAAATTCAATAAATCTAGATAACCTCTAACACAGACTGTATTCCCAAATATTCCCCAAGAGTTCTTTGCACCATGTAACCCAACATGTAGTGATTTCTTTTGTGCAGACAGGTTTAATGGAAAGGGTTTTCTAAGGCTAACAAGTTTAAGACCTTACCTGGTCCCCACCCACTTTCAGAAAAGACTTGGCAAGCGTCAGGAAAAGTATTGGTGAGCTCCGTGGCATTCATGGGCACTGCATTAGGGATCTCTGATCTAGACGTAGCTAAATATTGTCCTAAATACATTATCACCAAAGTATATGTATGTATAATTATTTTGGTTTTCTCTCTGCTGCTCCTTAGGATAGTTATCAAAGAGAAAAAAACCCTGAAATGATAAAACATAGTAAAATAGCAAAATTCATAATAAGCAAAAAAGTTTATGGCATTAAACACTGGAAATCAGCAGCAGTCTAAATAGCAAACCTTGGCCCCGGTCACACGGGCAGGAAACTGCGGGGGAGAAGCGTGGCTGTTTGCCCTGGGGCAAACTACTGCGCAGTTACTCGATCAGACCTCCCATGGAGGTCCTGTGGAGGTACCGTGGAGGTTCCATGGCAAGGGAGAGGTGCTGATCACAGGACAAGCCGGCGCGCAACGAAGAAGCGTACGCCGCGGCAAACTGTTTTGTTTTTGTGTGTACACGACGAATGCGCATGCTCGGTTAGGTGCGTGTGCGCATCCACAGAGACGTGGACAAAAAAACCCCACCTTATTTGCAAGGGGACATGGGCGGGCGCTGGATGCTACCGGAAACGCGATCAGACGCCCGCCTTTGTCCCGCAGTTTCCGGATACTAGTACCTCCGAGGTACTAGTTTTTTGCCACGCAGTTTCTGCTGGAAGCCTCCGTTGTGCCACGGGAGTGCTACGCTTCCCAGATGTGCTGGTGAGATCGCGCCCGGAAACTCCACCTGTTTTCCGTCTCACTTGTGTGGCTTCTGTTCCGTGTGACCGCAGCCCTTGTAATATATCTCAGGAAGGACATAAAAACAACATTTTCCAAACATCTGCTGTCTGTGTTGAATAATCCATGCTCTAATATTTGCCAGTTCCTAAAGCTACTTATATAATTTGCTTATTGTCTTTTCTTTGCAGATTTTTACTGAAAGTCTTCTGTGTTCAAGCCGGTTGGAAAATATCCACTTAGCTGGGCAAATGATGCATTGCAGCGTTTGGTCAATAGATCCTCCAGTTAGTGTTGTTTCTAAAGGAAAACCACAGTACAGAGTCTGCTATGAGAAAACCATTGAATTAGCTTTAGCTGCAAGTAGAGAATACTTCAATTCTTCTGCAAATCTGACTGATACCTGTATGGATTTGGCCAGGTAAATTCACATTTACATTGAGCCTAGCAGGGCGCCAAGAACAAAATGTCAATGCAAATTTTAGAATTTCTCATTTCTGTTATGCTGGTTTATATAATCTGTTCTTCCATATAAAATAGCAAAAAATGAATTTGCCACTTATGGATTGCCTTGTGCTACTTGCATACTGCTAAAAACATAAGGCTTGCATAAATTTGGGAGATGACCCCCCCCCCCCAACTTGGCAGTCTTGAAGATATACTGCTATTCATAGGGTTGTATTCTCCAACTCTGTTCTGTTAAGTGTGGTGGCTTCTTTAGTTGTTGCTGTTCCTCATGAAGGCAGCATATTTTGTTGAGCAGAGTGGGAAGTTCTAACCTATAATTTATTTATTCACTGCCATAGGAATATAGAATACTTTAGAGAGCAAACAGAGAAACATAGCTTTACACTTTTTTTGAGAAGATGTGTGACAGCAGAAACTTTTTAAAAAAGGAAGCTAAAAGGTTTGTTAGTGTTTAAAAGCATACAAAAATTCACATGTTAAATTACTAAGAGATTGTATGTTAGGATTTGGTGGCACTCTACCTTTTCTGTTTAAAAGCCCAGAATAATTGTCTTTTGAAAATATCTGGGTAGGGAAACTCTCCTCGCACTAGAAGATCTATCCGTTTTCTTTGGCCCAAATGGGAGTCTTTGCCTACTTCCCAAATTTCCTAGTCGCTTTCCCCCCAGTTGCCCTGTCCATGTTAAACTGCTCTTAGTCATGGCTGAATTCCAAAACTATTAGCTAGGGCTGAAATCAGACTGAATTCTCCTCAGCATCCAGTTCAGAAGTCTTTCGTTGCTCAGCTGATGCTAACCAATTAGATCTCTTGATACAGCCTGTCACTCAAGGCTGTCTGTTTCTGTGAAGAATGAACCCTTCACAGTTCTTTATATGTTTATACAGCAGTTCTAAGCCTTAAGGCAGACTGCTCTGAATGCCCAGCCTGCTTTTAGCCCCCCCCCCCATTCATTGTTGACCAAATTGGATCCTGATTGTCAGGTTTGCTGGCTCTGCCTCCTCCACAATATATAGCTGGCCAAATGGGGGTGGGCTGCAGAAATCAGTGTGAGAGTCTCCTGTCTGATCCAATGCTGGGCACAGTTGTCTAGGGTCTTCTGTTCCCTCATCCCCTCTTCACCCACCCACAGTGATTGCTCCATCTTGTTTTCGCCACTCTGTAATCTGTTGTATAATCAGTGTATCTCTTGGTTTTTTGAGAGCTACAGTGGCAAATGTTGAATTGTGCTTAGTGTGCTGCTTTGAAAGCAAGGATACATTTGTTTAATGCTGCCCTGTCTCAACTGGCATGTTTGATGGGTTGTATTCAGTAGAGCTTTTCCATGGATGGAAGGATTTCTGTCTGCAGAGGACAAACTTCTCCCTGCCCCTTCCGGCTGTGGGGGTAATTTGGGTGGGAAGGAAAGCTGAGTAAGTTGTGCAAAAACACTCTGTTGGGTCTAACCCACAGTCCTGTCCTCTCATTTTTATCCTCACACTGAATCTGGGATAGGTTAGGCAAAGAGAATGACTGCTAGGTAGCTCAGTGGTGACCTTGAGAAAGAGTGGGAATTTGAACTCAGCTCTCCCCAGCCGTTGTCCAGCATTCTGACCCAATGATGCTCAGTGGCTTAGGAACCACATGGGGCTGTTTGACGTGCCCCCTGTTGTTGCCCTTCTAAGCACCATTCCTCAATGTGGCATCTGCACCAAGTTTCAGGAAAGTGGGCAAGGCTCTTGGCCCAGTGGGACTTGTGATAGGTGCCAACCTTGAAACTACCAGTCTTGGAGGAACAAGTAAGTCGCAAGCTTCCCTGAAGTGGAGGGCTCATTCCAGGAATGGGAATAAATTTGGCTGTTTTGGTTGACAGTAATTATATAACTGGTTCTCTGTGAGCTACAGACTACCACTGCAGACACTATGCAAATACTTCACAAAGATTTGTGCTGTCAGCTGCTCATGATGGAGGAGTGGTTGCTTACTCTTTTAAAGATCCCAGAAAATATGAATAAGTGGGTTGTTGGAGTAAATGTGGGCTATTTCTGGTACTGCTGAGTCCTGAAGTGGTAGAACATTAACCTCTCCTTGCCCTGCTTAGTATGGGTACTCTTTACTAAAAGGAACTTTTTCATTTTAAGTTGTTTTACAATACAGTTTGAAAATATTGTATGGCAATGGCTAGTGATGGATTTATTTTCAGTATAGATTTTCATTCTTGCCACTGTAATCTGTCTTTCCTCCTGTTTCACTTTTTTTTTTTTGGCTAAAGGTTTTGTAGTATTAATCTTACTATTTTATATAGGGGCTTGTGAAGTTCTAAGAACATAAGAACATAAGAACATAAGAGACGCCAATGTTGGATCAGGCCAAAGGCCCATCCAGTCCAACACTCTGTGTCACACAGTGGCCAGAAATACCAGTGCCATCAGGAGGTCCAGCAGTGGGGCCAGGACATTAGAAGCCCTCCCACTGTTGACCCCCCCCAAGCACCAAGAAGACAGAGCATCACTTGCCCCAGAGCCCCTAGCTATACCTTGTGGCTAATAGCCACTGATGGACCTCTGCTCCATATGCTTATCTAATTCCCTTTTGAAGCCGTCCATGCTTGTAGCACCCACCACTTCCTGTGGCAGTGAATTCCATGTGTTAATCACTCTTTGGGTGAAGAAGTACTTCCTTTTATCCGTTCTAACCCGACCGCTCTGCAGTTTCATGGAGTGCCCTCGAGTTCTTGTATTGTGAGAAAGGGAGAAAAGTACCTCTTTCTTTACCTGCTCTTTCCCATGCATAATCTTATAAACCTCGATCATGTCACCCCTCAGTCGTCTTTTCTCCAAGGTAAAGAGCCCTAAGCGCTTTAACCTTTCCTCATAGGGAAAGTGTTCCAACCCTTTTATCATTCGAGTTGCCCTTTTCTGCACTTTTTCCAAAGCTATAATATCCTTTTTAAGGTGTGGTGCCCAGAACTGCACACAGTATTCCAAATGAGGTCTCACCATTGATTTATATAGGGGCATTATTATATTGGCTGATCTGTTTTCAATACCCTTCCTAATAATCCCCAGCATAGCATTGGCCTTCCTTATTGTAGTCACACACTGTCTCGACATTTTCAGTGAGTTATCCACTACAACTCCAAGATCTCTCTCTTGCTCAGTCTCTGCCAGTTCAGACCCCATCAATGTGTATTTATATTTAGGATTTTTGGCTCCAATGTGCATCACCTTGCACTTGGCCACATTGAACCCCATTTGCCATGTTGACGCCCACTCGCCCATCCTTGACAGATCCCCTTGGAGTGCCTCACAATCCTCACTGGTTTTCACCACCCTGAACAACTTTGTATCATCCGCAAACTTAGCCACTTCACTGCTTACTAAGTTCTTCAAAAGTTAAATCCCTTTTCCATCTGTTTCTATGCAATACTGATTTATTTTTGTATTTTAAAGAATGTAATTATGCAGAAGGGGCCAGCTCTGCACGGAACACTCAGGCAGGAAACAACCATTTAAAACCAGGAAAGGAATTCCTTCCATATTAGCTCTGTCTTTGCATCCTTATCTAGCATTGACAATTTTCTCCTCCACTGAAATTGTCATTTAAGTAGGAAGTGTTCCAGAATAGTTTCTTCTATGATAAGATCAAAGCACAACCAAAGCCTGTTATTTTTTAAAAACCTAATTTAAGAGAGAAAACAAAATTAAAAGAAGAATATTTAAGAAGTTGTCATGTTTCCTCCTCATCACAACAGGGCTGAGGCATCCCTACAGAACAATGTTGTACTCCTTATCTGTTTCTGCAGAAATCGCAAAAAATAATTTTAAATTAAATAATTCATGTGCTACAGTTCAACTACTCCTCTTGGACGCACACCTTAATGTGATGAGGGGGGTTGCATATTTCAGCGAATCTGAGGGCAACACCGTAAGATATCGATATTCCTAGCAGAGTCACTCAAGGGGGAATGGCCAAAGCTGAGACACCAGACTAATGCATCCACCCCCTTTGGGGATCAATGGCTCCAGCAGGAGAAGAGAACGTTAATTCGTAGGGTCGCCATAAGTTGGAAGAGACTTGACGGCACTTCACACACAAACACACACACTTCAACTGTTAATATTAGCTGATTTAACTTTGTTGGTATAAGCAACTTTCCTTCTTTTCTAATAGAACACTTACAGTTGCTGAATGGTTTTGCCTGGTCACTTGTACACTTTCCATTATGGTGTTAAAAAAAGAGTTCTGCCCATATAAAGAGTTTGCTTGCTCATTAGCTTTGCCTAATGACAACCTTGGTGCTAGATCAAGATGGGTAGCTGTGTTTGTCTGTAGCAGTAGAAAATAGTCTGAAGAAGTGAGCAGTGACTCACGAAAGCTCATAGACTACCACAAATTTTATTAGTCCTTAAGGTACTATTGGGTTCTTACTCTTTTCTACTACCTTGTTGCAAAATGAATAAATCTGTAAAATATATTTTCCTTGCTACGTCATCACAACACAAAATGATAGATTCACTAACAGCAACTTTCCCTTTTGATTGACAAAGTAAAGTTCTTATTAGTGGCAGTGGTAAAATATTTTTTTCTGCATTTTTGTGTGTGCATGTGTCTGTGCCTTTGCCTGGAAGTCATGGTCACCTCTGGTGACTCCTACTAGGGCATGGAGGATGGTCAGATAAGTGGCTTGATAGCCTGCCTCTGCCTCTCGGCCCTGATATTCTCTGGAGGTCTCCCATCCAAATACTTGCCTGGGTTGGCCCTGCTTACCATCCGAAATCTGATGAGACTGGGCTTGCCTGGGCTATCCAGGTCAGGCGCAATGGTAAAATAATTTTGTTCCTTATTCAATTCAATTCAATTACCTTTATTGGCATTGACATTAAAAAGAGTAATAAATGAAAGATAAGGTAAAGAAGGAATACCAATCAAAGAGAAAAAAATGTTCTAAGAGTCTAAAATCAATGTAAAATAGTCTCAATTTCATATCTCCTGAAAACAAGTTTTGTATTACAATACTGAATTACGAATAAAAAGAGCAGCCTGCAAGAACTCTGCCACAGAAACGGCTATATTTTCATCACACAGTTTGTGTGAGTCAGGAAGCTCTCTGATACCATCAAGTAATGACAATAAAATGCAGTGTTGAATATTGGCATAGTAACGGCATTCCAATAACACGTGAGACACCGTTTCAACTGACCCACTTGCACAGGGGCATAGACTATTTTAAAAAGGGGATACTATTAAACCTCCCAGTTAAGATCACTGGAGAGCATTGAACCTGGCAAGTGAAAAGGTTCTAAGTAATTCTGGAGTCTGAAGTTGGTGAAGATAGCTAGCTGTCAGAACCCACAGCTAACAACGAAGTACACGCATTCAGGAATGGTTATACTTTTATTGCAAAGCTATAGATGCAGTAACACAGGCACTGTTAGGAATGGCTACAGCCACTGGAGCATAATAGGATATAGGGTATTTGTATGCACACACACACCCCCATGGCTTCGGCCAATTAGGGACCCTCCCACGCGCGTAATAAGTCAGGCAACCGTTAAGCGGCTAAAGCTGAGAACCTGGAGTCTCTCATGGTACATAGGAGTCCTCCAGACAACACAACCTCCTCCAGCACATCTGTATAGATAAGTGTTTCAGCAAAAAGCAGAGCAGTAAGGATAGGAATGCAATAACAATTAACAAGACACAGAATGAACTCCCCAACCCCCATGGCAGCGTAGCTGACACTAGCAGGATGACCCACAGTGGGCAATATCCCATGACTTAGAGGGGAGCATGTCTTACTAGCTGCGTTGTACAGTTCAAATAGCTCTGCCTCAAATAGCCTGTCCCTTATTGTTTGCATTGCCTCCAATTCAGAAAGCAAGAATAAGGATTCGAAAGGGATATTCAGTGTTCGTAATTTATTTTCAATAATAACCAACCAAGGGGAGCAGTTGGGTTCAGTCAAAAGTTGGAAGCAGTAACTAGAGGGATCAGATCTATGATGTAATCAAAGCCAAAACTTAAAGGTCATTAACCACACCCTTGTAGTCATAAGGTTTTGGCCACATTCTAGGCATAAAGCCGCATACGGGACACAGGAAGGAATACCCAAGATTTTCCGTAGAAAACCTGAATGTACCTGCTCAACTGCCTTATTAATTGATTCAATCCAAATAGGGGCTCCGTAGAGTAGCTGAGGGCCTATTTTCAGGTTGAAGATTTTCAGCGCAGCTGGAACTTATTGGTTCCCTTTTCCAGAAAAATAAAAAGGCAGAAGTGCATTAACATTTGCTTTAGCATTATTATAAATCCTACTGTATTGATTGTTGGTCTGTGACCATAATAATAAATGTGTGTGTATAAATCCCTTAAGTCTTCAGATTGTTCTTGGATTCCATATGAGCACATGTGTCAAGTCAAACAATATGTCAAGTCAAACAAGCTCAATATTGTTTAGACTTGCAGCAGCTCTCCAGGGTCCTGGGTCAAGGACTTTCATGTAACCTATTGCCTAAGCTTATAACTGGAGACTTATAACCTTGGACTTCCTCTGTGCAAGAATGTACTCAGCCACTGAGCCACCATCCCTCCCTGGGAGGGACAATGTTTTGTTAAGAGGGGCTAATACGATGAAGAGGCATAATCAGGCAGTCATCCCACGTTCTCATGGGCGTACCCCTCTACTTAGCCAACACATGGATGTGTGTGGGGGGGGGTTGCTCTGCAGTAGTATATGTAATAAAAAACTATGACTTTTTGCATATCTAATATGGTTGAGAGATTTCCCCCCCCCCCCGAGGTAATTATGGAATGTTAATTGAACTACAGGTTTTAAAAGTAATACATGGGTTTATGCTTCTTATCGGCTTACCCCACGTATTCTGTCCGTCTTCAGAATCTGAGATGATCCCATTTCGTGCTCACCACAACTTGTGATGCTCATTATGTTGAAAGATATTGACTGGCAGGATGTCGATTTCAACGATCCAAGGCTACCATCCTAACAATGATACCACACTGACTTTGTATTTTTCAAAAGGTGTTTGAATTCTGTTTTCCCCCCCCCCCCCCCTTTGCTTTTAGGGCCTGCTTACAGCTCATTACAGACTGTCCACCTGTTGTTCAGGAAGAACTGGATCTCATTCGTGCTCTTAGCTACCTTGAAGAATTTGGCATGAAAATCTTGCCATTACAAGGTATGAAATGCTATATACTATTTATGGTTTATGATTCTGGTTTCTCTTCAGATCGTATAACTTTTTTGTATGAAATGTTGTATACTATTTATGATGGGGAATGCCTGAAATACTGGCTTGGCAGTTAAACCTATTCACAAATATTAAATTAGGCAACTACGTACAATTAGTTGAGCACTTTTAAATGAAAGAGAACTATAGTTATTACCTTTCTCATTGAAATCAGTGGAGCTTAAAAGTGCTTAACTGAGACTGCATTCTTATTTTTTTCCCTTTTACTGTACATAACTGTCTTATTTTTTTCATTACAAGTCACTGCTTAAAAAACAGTCAAATCTATGTGTCACATATTAGTGATGAGTGAATAGTAGAGTTATTCCTATTATAGTGTCATGTATATATATTCCAAACTGCCTTCCCTTCCCCACTGAGTAGAAAGCCAGAAATAAAATTCATGGACTTGCAAAAGCAGTTTGCATGTCCAGAGAAGAAAATGTTCACAAGAAACAAATGCCAAATGCTCCCAGGAGAAGAATTGTACAGACTTAGAAATGAAAGCAATTGTATTGTGCTGTGTGGGTGGAGACTGTTTCAAGGAGGTTGTGCACAATAAAATACATAGGCCAGGTTTTAATATTTGAACAAATAGGACCATTCAGTTCCATCTTAATTTTCTCAGAAAAACATGGTGGTCTCCCTACTCTCCAGTTGCCCTTATGCTGTCATTATTAAAATAACAGCTTGCTACGAATTTTGATTACATTTCCTTTAGTTCGCAAAGTGCTTTGAAACACCTTGCTTATCCTTATAATGGCCATCTGAGGCAGGTCATTGATCTTCATAGTGTAGCTAGGAAACTGGTAGATGGATTTTCCCCTGCCGCAATCCCATGGCGTTAGGAAGAGCTCAAAGATTTCAACAGTAACCTGCAAGTCTTGCTACACCCACAATGTCTGTGCTGTAACAATTCAGCTGTATTTGATAGGGCTGAACTGCTGTATGACAGTGTATCTGGAGCTTGGGCATAAATAACTTACTTTCATTGGCTTTTTTTTCATTTTACTTTTAGTACCCAATAAATCTCTATTTTTATTTTTATTATTTTTTAAAAATCATAACAGTCTTACAAAGACTGAAATATTTTACAGGAACAATAATTCACTTGCCGCCTGTGACCTTCTTACCTGTATTGTAGTTTTAATGGATTTGTACCGCTAGCAGCTGGATGAATAATGAACATTTTAAAAAATACAGTTAACACTTTATAAAGACTTTTTGATATAAAATTAAAATGAATATGTAAGTAAAAGGCAATTCTTAGGTGTTGTATAGTAAATCTGCTACCTCTAGTGATTCTTAAAGATATGTTCCTTGTTAACCTATTTGCTTGTATAAGCTTTAACTTTTATACCTAGGTGCATGTTAATGTATCTATTGACAAACTGAGTAATACTAATATTTAATTGTGAGTGTTCTGGCTGAAAATGAAAAATGTTGCTGCATTTTCAGATAGAGCCCTATTTAGGTAATTTGTGAGCCACAAGCACATCTGTGGCAGAATGTGCCTGCTCCAGCCTGCAGGCCCTATTTCGCCCAGCCCTCTTAGGTTTTTCTCACCACCTGGAGAGGCTTTTCTTCCACTCTCGAGTAACCCACCACCACCACCTGACCTTTTGCAGGAATTACCCACTGGGAGAGCTAGGACTCTCAGCTTCCCTTCCAAATTCCAAGGCCTTGCTTCTGTGTCTCCCTCTGCCCAGTGCCTGGTCACCACAAGGACAGTTATTGCCTCCTTGCTTGGAGGAATAGCTGCTTGCCAACTGCCTTTCTTCGGCCTGGGACTCCTTTTAAAATAGCATGTCCAAGACAGTGAAGGCCTATGTGGTACAGAGAACCACTGCCAGCATCAAAAGTTCTAAAGTATTTATTAAGAAGAAAATGTTCACAAGCATACTTTTAGCACAGCACTAGATTGAACAAGGAATACAAAAGAAACGGGTAAAACTCAGATTCTCTGTCCCTCTCTATACATACCCTATCAGATGTTGAAATAGGACAGGCTCCTTTTGCTTTGGAAGTCACAGATCTCTACAGAATAGTTCCAGTTCTTTAGGCAAGCACATGGTCAGTGACTGCCTGTCATATAGCAGGCACAGGCAGATGAGCCAGACATGTTCAGGTGCTCACACAAAGTCCAGAGTTCAATCCCAGAAGTCCACAAGCCAAAAGTGCACAACCCAGAGGGTTGTTACCAGAAGGGTTGAAGCAGAGAAGGTAGTCAGGAGGTCCAAGGGTCATCCACAAACCAGAGAGTCACAAAGTCAAAGTCCCAAGCCAGTCCAAGGTTGCACAAAGAACCAGGGTCGGGAGTTGTGATCACGGAGTCCAGCAGAATGACGTTGTTTCCACAATATTTACGCTCCCAGCCCTGGGTTTTTTGGGCACTTCCTAACAAGCTCTTGTTAGCAGCCAGCTGCCTGGAAGTACTGCTACAACTACTCCAGGTTGTCATCAGCAAGCAACTGGCGATGGGCCAAGAGACATGCACTCTACCTCCTTGCTTGCAGCTCCCTTCTAAGCTTCTGTCTCTGGCACTTGAAGGGTGGAGGTAAGCCTGGTGCACTGGCCATAATCACTTGAGTCTCACCTGGGCAGTGGCTCTGGATCAGCTGTTGGCAGTGACTCTTGGTCAGCCTGCAGCTCATCAGCCTGTATGCTGGCTTCTGCTGACTCAGAACTAGCCATGTGTGGCTCCCCTTCTCTTGAGGAGACCTCTTCCCCTGAAAAATCCTCCTCTCCTGAGGACTTCATGCTGAGCTCAGGCTGACCCACAACACTGCCTTCCCAGTGGAGAGGTTTGCGTCCTATCATGGACTCCACACCCAAGGACAAGAGAGCTCCTTACTGCTGCAAGGAGTTTTTATCATCTCTGTTTCTCCACCCACTGATCAGGTCACACCAATACAAAGAGGCTTTTCCTGGAGATCTCCAGGACATTTCCTTCCTGGAGTCCTTCTAGCTTTTAATTCTTGCAAATCTCTGTTCTCTGCCTGGAGAAAGAGGGAAGATCTTGACCCACCCATTATGTCTCCTGTGAGATCTATTAGCATTTATATGAAGGTGAGCTGAGGTTCATCTGGGAAGCAATTGAACTGACTCCCCCCACACACACCTGTTCTCTGCTCAAGGGGGGGGGGACTTCTAAAACACACAGTGGAGGTTTTGCTCAGCTTGAACCTCCCAGGACAAAATGCATTTCTTCACAGCATCTGTAACTGCAATGGTAATTGATGCATTATCTATATACCATTGGCCACCTGTGGCCACCATCTGCAGATATTTAAATCTGTGGATCAGGGCTCCATGGAGGCTAAAGAGATTTTTCTGCATACTTGGGGTGCTCCACAGGTGTGTAGAAAAATCTGAAGAAAAAAAAATGAATGGAAGGGTTAATCCCCCCCCCCCAAATTAAAGTAGCATCTTCTGAGCAAGCACAGAGAATGCATTTACCTCGGCAGTTGGCCGTGGGACATGGGAGCTTCACTGGGTTCGGTAGTGGCAGTACTGCAGCTCAGGAGCCCCGACAGCAGTTGCTTGGATGTGGCTGCTGCTCTGGGCCTGCCTATGGTGAGCCCAACACTGACAGTGGAGGATGATGGCTGCTGCTCCGGCTACAAAGCACACACCACCTGCCCAGAGCTGTTCTAGACAAGCCGCAGAGAGATGGAAAGTGGGAAAGGAAGCCTTGGTGAGCCCACCCAGAGCAGCTCTGGACGAGCTGCGGGGGGAAAGACGGTGGGTCCACTGGCGGCAGGGGAGCCCGGAGAGAAAGTGGAGATGAGATTCCCCCCCCCCCAAGTATTGCGGGCCACCACTTGTAAAGTTCTAATTCTATAGCATTTAAAACCTAAACGTTATACAAAACCTAAAGGGAGAGAAAACCTTCCTGTAGCCACAAAACATAATAAAGACAAAGAGAATCCTAAAGGCCAATGAATCATAACTTGAAAAAGCAACATGTTAATATAGGTGGACTGCATTGTTCAGGAGTTCACAAAGTAAATCGTTCTCAAACCTTGCATTTGTATGTTGTCGCCGAATTTTAGCTCTTTGAGAGGCTGCAGCAAAGAGAGAGGTAAAGGAACCAGTTTGGACTGCACCAAAGAAGAATATGAGTTCTCATTGTGGTGGGTTGCTCTGCATTATCCTGTATGGATAATTGGATCCAATGTGATTGGATGCTTCTCTAAATAAACAAACAAAGTCATCTTTTAAAAAGCTTAACGTATAGCAGGAAGATTCCAATCTTTTTTCTTTCTTTGTTTTTGGACCTGTAGCTTGTGTGTGCAGTTGACCCAAAGATGGCTCAGTTCAAACTACATTCTCTCTCTCTTTCTCTCTCTCTCTCTCTCTCTCTCTGTACCTCCTACAAAACATGATGTATTTTCTCTCTACAGTGCGCCTGAGCTCTGATCGGCTCAGCCTTATCAAAGAATGCCTCTTGCAGCTGCCAAGCAACTACAGACAATCTGCCAAGCTGTTGGAACTTGCTGATTTGCTGAGGGTTGCAGGTAAACCTGAAACTTTGACGAAATATATCCTTGTTCCTTATTGAGGTTGTTCAGCTTGATATAGCACAGTTGTGACCTGCCCTTCTATGTGAAAACAAATTGTTACGTTTTAATTTTGGATTTTGAGGGCAAACTCTTTGTCGAAAGCAGAATATACATTAGAGCATGTTTACCTTCTGCAGTCAGTTGATAGTATTAAATCCCACTAAATCTTGTTCCTGTCAAAAATGAAATAATGGCTATCCTTTTTGTGCAAACAGAACATTGCCTAAATCATATTCATTCATTAACATGTGGGTTTATTTACAGTTGTTCAATGAAACTGTCATATAACATTAGTGAGCAGAAGACTGGAATATATAGGTCTTCTGATGCATGATCAAGTCCAGAATAATTTGTTTTGTTTTGTTGCCTAAGATAAATATTTGATTTGCAGAGATAAATACAGGTGTTATTTTACATCTGCTGTTTCCTACCTACCATTACTACTATCATAAGAATGAAATTTATATTTTTATATAAAGTAGTAATTAGGGCAGCAGTGTTCATTCAGATAAGTGGTTTAAAACATTTTGATGGCCTGTAAAGGTGTCCCTAATTGGTCAGTGCATTTTTGGGACAAACTGAATTAATGGAAGTCAGATATGTTTGCCTGTATGGGCTGGGCATTTGCCATTATTGGGGCAGGGCTGGAATCTTCATGTCTGGTCATTCAGATGGGAAAGAGATTGCTGGAGTCAGCCTGTTGCTTATTGTTCTGGAATTCTAAGTCATTGATTGTGATCTGAGTAGCTGAGAGGAAGCTCCAGGGTCCTTGTGGAAATGGATTGAATCCCTCTCAAGGTGGGCTTGCGTATATGACTAATAGAGGAATGGCCCTGCATTCCTTTCCTCCTGGGCATGACCTCACTGCTTCTTGATATCAGTTTAATTCAGGCTCCTTCTATCTTTCATGGGCTCACACTCAGGTGTTCACACATATAGAAGGCAATCAAACCATAAAGAAAAGGGGTGTCCTCTTGGCTGAGGGTCTCGTGGGCATCACATGAGAGGACATAAAAGAGATGAAGAAAGCATTATATGGGTTTAAATGTGATACACTGTAAAGCTGGGGGGCATTAATGAAAATGGGAGACACGAAGGTTAAAAATGGGAGGTACAGAATTTCTGCTCTGTTTTTTTATTTATCTTAAATATAAGATAGATTACCAAGAACTCATTCCTTCAAAGGATTGTAAGGCTTTTATTTCCCCCCTAGTGGTTATTTGTGTGTTTAATTGTCTGCATACAGTATATTGCAGGTTTACTATTGAAGCTGATGGAAAGCTTGATTAGCAAGTAACTGTATTCCATTATAATATGAGAACATGATTGCATTATAGTAATATTGTCATGAAGAAATGATGCTTAAAATGTGTGGTTTGAGTTGGTACTTTTATTGATTCTTCTTGCAGGAGGATAGTTCTTTTTCCCCTAACTGCTAAAGGAGAATTAGTCTGAAGAGTACAGAGGGTTGACTTTTGTCTTATGCTTTAAACATTTTGTCTAGTAGTTTTAGAGGTGTGCCACGATTGTGCTCACAACCATTGTGACTTAGTGGTGAAAAGTTCATTTGAACAGTGGGTCTAGTCACATTGCTAGGTTTGGTGTTGTGAATTATGGGAAGTGGAACGCAATCTGGAAATCTCTGGGTGTCAAGATGTGTCCATTGTACTTTCTGAATAGGGTTTTGGCTATTCCTCTGAGCGCTGAAAAATTTTGTCAATGGAGAGGAGGTTGAAAAGGTTTTGGGAAGAGTGGCATACTTTGTGGATTTTAATGAGCTCTTGTTCATTCCCACTGCTGTTGTAAGAATTGGTAATTATCTAAGTTCATTTAGATGAAATGGAGATCTGTGACCCGTGGTTATTTAAAGGCTTAAAAATAGGCAAGGGTGGCTGTTTCAGATAGCTGAGAAGGGTTTAATACTTTATGCCCTGTTCTACTGATCTTGGTTAATCCTTCTCTAGTTCTTAATGTTAGCGTCTCGATGTAGGGCTGTCTGACTCAGCCACCATTTCAGTTCTTTGTTTCTTACTTCATTAGGGAACTCATACCTTCAAGACGGCCTGCTGGGATTACGTCTGTTCAGAGGGTCTTGGAGCAAAATATCCCATCCGTAATGAGCTTGGTATTTTCAGTGGCAATAGTATGATTCTTTGGGTAGATTCTTTGTTGCTTCTGATGATAAACTCTTAGTTCTGTTGCATGGAAGAAATAGCATTGCCCTCATTTTGACAAATCTTTTTCCACTTGAAGGGAAACAAGTAGCAAATCAGTACATATGAAAAGACCCCACGGTATCAACCTTTCTGCTCATTCATTGTTTTAAAGGATTTCTATTCTGCCTTTCCACTATAATGTTCAAAGTAGCTAACAATCACAATATTTTTTTAAAAAAGAGCTTACTTATTTGGTCCCATAATACATTAAATTAAAAAATACATTAAAAGACCAAGAGTTCATTTTTATACCCCGCTTTTCTTTACCCCAAGGAGTCTCAAAGAAGCTTACAATTGCCTTCTGTTCCTCTCCCCACAACAGTCACCTTGTAAGATAGGTGGGGCTGAGAGAGTTCTGAGAGAACCGTGACTGGCCCAAGGTCACCCAGGCTTCATGTGGAGGAGGAGTGGGGAATCAAACCCAGTTCTCCAGATTAGAGTCCGCCACTCCTAAGCAGTAACCCCTAAAGCAAGCTGGCAATCACAGCACTAAAACACAGTAATAACACATCATTGTAGCAGAAGTAAATATTTTAGCAGCAGAATTTTTCAACTGAATCCAGAATAAAATATCCAGCAAATTGAAGGTGAGTTGAGCATTTTTTAAAAAAGCTTTGCCTGTCACCAAAAAGTGATATGGAACTAGAAAGCCGCTTTGGCGTAGTGGTTAAGAGCATGGACTCTAATCTGGGAGAACCGGGTTTGATTCCCCACTCCTCCACATGGAGCTGCTGGTGTGACCTTGGGTCAGTCATAAGTTTTTTCGGAGCTGTTCTCTCAAAGCTCTCTCAGCCCCACCTGCCTCACAGGGTGTCTGTTGTGGGAAGGGAAAGGGATTGTAAGCCACTCTGAGACTCCTTCAGATAGTGAAGGGCGAGGTATAAATCCAATCTCTTTTCCTCTTCTTCTCTTCTCCTAGGGGAGCACTTTCACAATAGAGGTGTCATCATGGAGAAGGCTGTGCACAAGCAACCTCTTGCCTCAGTTCAGTTTCTTGAAGCAGTTGAATTTGAAAACCATAACAAAACGTGATTTCTTCCAAACCAAGGAGGCTCAGTCTCCTCCCCAGAGGTCATTTCGGGGGGGATCGCGGGGAATCGCAGCTCCCCCGGGAGAGGTACGGGGGGCGGGGCACATGATGAAGCCCCGCCCCCTGCTTCCGGCCACCCCGCTTCCGGCCCTCATTCAGCCAGGAGGAGGCAGGAGAAGAGGGAGGGTAAGTTGCTTCCTCCCTGCCTCTCCCCACCCCTGCCTGCCTGGGGCCAGGGAGGGCCTTTGCGGGGCTTCCTTGCACTCCCGCCGGCCTTCCAGGTCCACCGCCGGGCCCCTCATGGGGCTTGGCAGTGGAGTTGCAAGGCCGGCGGCGGCGGCCAGGACTGTTGGGGGCGGGGTGTGTGGCCTTAGGACACACTTCCAGTGATGTCAGGGGGTGTGGTATATGCTAATGAGTTATGCTAATGAGTCCCCCTAGCTCTTTTTCTACGAAACGATCCCTGCTCCGCTCTGTGTGTTAACTTGTGGAGGGGTGCTCCATGGGCCACAGAGTGACAGGTCGCGAGGAAGCATGTGAACTCAAGGATAAATCAAGCTAGTCTGTGACGTCTGAATGCAGCCAGTGTGTCTGATCTATCATTGAATTTTTTGCACATCATTTTCTACAAAGAGTAGACAGTGCATAGTTTCCACTGCTGAATGTTGCCTGTCTTTGTCCAGCCATCTGATCAGTAAACTGTAATTAACAATTAAGAATGAGATTAAGGCACACATTTTGTTACATCTTAATTTTATAGCTTCACTTTTTAAATGGTATCTCTTGGCATTGCAAGCACAAAACTATCATTATTAATCAACTTTACTTTCATACCCCCCCTCCCAATACACAAAAAACAAGGAGCTGTGAGTTTTCCAGGGAATGTATGCTTGCATTGGGGGGGGGGGTGTTGGAGAGGGGGTGCAGTTTGAAATCTTTGGGGAGAGGAGGAGGATTTGAAGCGGCTGCTAAATTTACAGAAGCTTTATTTATTTATTTATTTATTTATTTTTGCATTTATATCCGACCCTCTCTGAAGGCTCAGGGCGGCTAACAACGGGGCACATGTGCCAGAATTAAAACAAATAAAACAGTCTAAAACAATACAATACAACAACAAAGTGTCAGTGCAAGATGAGGTAGATCTTTGTCGTTGTAGGAGCTTGCCGGTCATGTTGGGATGGCACATCAGAAAGCATTCAATTAAATGCGAATAGCAGTGAGAGGAATATTATCCTACTACCAGGATAATGCCAAAATTTGTAGTACGTGAGATCTTGCAAAACGTGCTCTGAGAAAGAGATACCAAGATTCTGATGCTTCAAAGCAGGGTTTTTTTTTTTTTTTGTATTTTGCTAATTTACCTTGAAAGGTCCTCAGGCTCAATTAAGAAAAAGCAATTTCCCTTTTGGGAACGTCCCTTTTGAACAAATTGCTGTTGATGTACTGCCCTTGCAGGTAACTCCGCATTTCAGTTCCTTTTGCAGTGGCAGGGAGGCTTCTATGTCAGCTTGGCTTTCAATGAGTCATGAAAGGTCCAGGCCCTACTTATGTGGTCTATGCATTAATTTTAGTTTAAAATGCTGAACCCCTACCCACCCACCCATTTAGCTAGGACTGTCTGATGTTCTTAACTGTATCCTTTGTTTTGAGAGCATGAAAGTCTATTAGCCACCCTTAAAAGTGCTGCTAAAGTAGCAAGCGTTTGG